ACAGTTAAAGCTCTTGATATGTTCCAATTGTCGTACCCACAATCCCGTCCTCTTTTCCTCGACCTACTGATCACTGGGATTGTACTTACATGAGCAACACGACGGGTGCCATATGTGGAGCAGGGTCTGCTTACCCTTCCTTTGAGGTCCATCTTCATTCTGTGTTGTGTTTTGTATACTTTTGTTTGTCTTTTGGTGGTTTTAGCCATGGCATTGTCAGCTAGTTTGTTTTCGACCTATGAGTTTGATTTTACCTTTGGTATCTGTTCCTTCTCTTTTGTCCAACTTTTGGGTAGTTTTAGCCTGGGATGATTGGGATCTTGTTCTCCCTGTAAATGTGTGTGGGGGATTTCTCATTTATTGTTACAGTTTTCTATTGTAAACTTTCTCTCTGAAAACAGAGATTGCAGATATGCTTTATATGACTGCTAAAAATAATAGTACCACAATTGCCATTGACCTTTATCATTTATCTATGACCCACATACCCCTACACCATTATGTATTATAATGAAGGGTAGTACCCCCGCAAGTGGCATCCCCCTGTTGTAACGTTTCAAATGTATCTTACACATGCAGACAGTGGTGGAAGAGTGCCATGCTCCTAGCACACACAAAAGTCCTTTCAAGCATCATACAATAAGAATAGTTTAAGTGGAGGACAATACTAAGGCTTTAGTTCTTGACTCTTCATACATTTCCTTAGGCAGTTTGGCAACAAAAAGTAGTTCTCCTTCTTTGTCAGGGCCTGTCCCATCCCCTCATCGTTTCATGTCTAATGTATCCCGTATCTCATCTTCCATGGTCGCCACCATATACAGGCCTTTTTGTATTGTTGGAACGTAAAACACACACAATCAATCAATCATTTTTAGTACTGAAAATTAGTGCATATTATTAAATGATTTTTTTTACAAATGCAATATTTTTGCAGACTGAACGCTAGACAACACAAAAATAATCTCCCTTCTATTTTCTATTATTGTTATCATTATTGTTGTCATTATTGTTGTTCTTATCTTTCGGTGGAGTTGAAGAAATCATAAAATCAACACAACGTTCTATTAAACATACCTTACTTAGTTACTTTTTATGCATTGTGACTTGGATGGAGAGTTGTCTCATTGGCACTCATACCACATCTTGTTATTTATATATAGTGAAGAAATTAGCATAAATAAGACAAACTATTATAATAATCCACCAACAAGTCAAGCCTTAAAATTTGACAAGTAAACCTTTGATGATGATTGTTGTTTACTTTACGTCCAGTGACAAATGTTTCATGTTCATCAGGACAAAGAAAACCTTTGATGATGATTGTTGTTTACTTTACATCCAGTGACAAATGTTTCATGTGAATCAGGACAAAGAAAACCTTTGATGATGATTGTTGTTTACTTTACGTCCAGTGACAAATGTTTTATGTGTATCAGGACATAAAACCTTTTATGATTATTGTTATTTACTTTACGTCCAGTGACAAATGTTTCATGTTCATCAGGACAAAGAAAACCTTTGATGATGATTGTTGTTTACTTTACGTCCAGTGAGAAATGTTTCATGTGTATCAGGACAAAAGAAAACCTTTTATGATGATTGTTATTAACTTTACGTCCAGTGACAAATGTTTCATAGATATAAGAAGATGTGGTATGAGTGCCAATGAGACAACTCTCCATCTAAGTCAAAATTTATAAAAGTAAACCATTATAGGTCAAAGTACCGTCTTCAACACGGAGCCAAATGTTTCATGTGTATCAGGACAAACAAAAAATTTGATGATGATTGTTGTTTACTTTACGTCCAGTGACAAATGTTTCATGTGTATCAGGACAAAGAAAACCTTTGATGATGATTGTTGTTTACTTTACGTCCAGTGGCAAATGTTTCATGTGTATCATGACAAACAAAAAATTTGATGATGATTGTTGTTTACTTTACGTCCAGTGACAAATGTTTCATGTGTATCAAGACAAAGAAAACCTTTTATGATGATTGTTATTTACTTTACATCCAGTGACAAATGTTACATGTTCATCAGGACAAAGAAAACCTTTGATGATGATTGTTGTTTACTTTACGTCCAGTGACAAATGTTTCATGTGTATCAGGACAAAAGAAAACCTTTATGATTATTGTTATTTACTTTACGTCCAGTGACAAATGTTTCATGTTCATCAGGACAAAGAAAACCCATGATGATGAATGTTACTTACTTTACATCCAGTGACAAATGTTTCATGTTCATCAGGACAAAGAAAACCTTTGATGATGATTGTTATTAACTTTAAGTCCAGTGACAAATGTTTCATAGATATAAGAAGATGTGGTATGAGTGCCAATGAGACAACTCTCCATCCAAGTCAAAATTTATAAAAGTAAACCATTATAGGTCAAAGTACCATCTTCAACACGGAGCCTTGGCTCAAGCCGAACAGTAAGCTATAAAGGGCCCCAAAAATTACTAGTGTAAAACCATTCAAACGGGAAAACCAACGGTCTTATCTATATAAAAAACGAGAAACGAGAAACACTAATGAACCACATCAACAAACGACAACTACTGAACATCAGATTCCTGACTTAGGACAGGTGCAAACAAATGCAGCATGTTCATCTGGACAAAGAAAACCTTTTATGCTGATTGTTATTTACTTTACGTCCAGTGACAAATGTTTCATGTTCATCAGGACAAAGAAAACCTTTTATGATGATTGTTGTTTACTTTACGTCCAGTGACAATTTTTTCATGTGTATCAGGACAAAGAAAACCTTTTATGATGATTGTTGTTTACTTTACGTCCAGTGACAAATGTTTCATGTGTATCAGGACAAAGAAAACCTTTGATGATGATTGTTATTTACTTTACATCCAGTGACAAATGTTTCATGTTCATCAGGACAAAGAAAACCTTTGATGATGATTGTTATTAACTTTAAGTCCAGTGACAAATGTTTCATAGATATAAGAAGATGTGGTATGAGTGCCAATGAGACAACTCTCCATCCAAGTCAAAATTTATAAAAGTAAACCATTATAGGTCAAAGTACCGTCTTCAACACGGAGCCTTGACTCACGCCGAACAGTAAGCTATAAAGGGCCCCAAAAATTACTAGTGTAAAACCATTCAAACGGGAAAACCAACGGTCTTATCTATATAAAAAACGAGAAACGAGAAACACTAATGAACCACATCAACAAACGACAACTACTGAACATCAGATTCCTGACTTAGGACAGGTGCAAACAAATGCAGCATGTTCATCTGGACAAAGAAAACCTTTTATGATGATTGTTATTTACTTTACGTCCAGTGACAAATGTTTCATGTGTATCAGGACAAAGAAAACCTTTGATGATGATTGTTATTTACTTTACGTCCAGTGGCAAATGTTTCATGTGTATTAGGACAAAGAAAACCTTTGATGATGATTGTTATTTACTTTACGTCCAGTGACAAATGTTTCATGTGTATCAGGACAAAGAAAACCTTTGATGATGATTGTTATTTACTTTACGTCCAGTGGCAAATGTTTCATGTGTATTAGGACAAAGAAAACCTTTGATGATGATTGTTATTTACTTTACGTCCAGTGACAAATGTTTCATGTGTATCAGGACAAAGAAAACCTTTTATGATGATTGTTATTTACTTTACGTCCAGTGACAAATGTTTCATGTGTATCAGGAGAAAGAAAACCTTTGATGATGATTGTTATTTACTTTACGTCCAGTGACAAATGTTTCATGTTCATCAGGACAAAGAAAACCTTTGATGATGATTGTTATTAACTTTACGTCCAGTGACAAATGTTTCATGTGTATCAGGATGACGAAAACCCGCAACGAAATTTTCCTTCTGCAAGACAAATCATGCAACTTTGATTTTCAATTACCAATGTTACTCTCATCCTTTAAAAAGTATCAAGTGTTGTTTTTTGTGTAAAAAAATGTCTTAAAACTTTCTTGTTTTAATTTTAAACGAAATAATTAAAACCTTTAAGAATGATATTTGCAAGAAATAATAAGGGGACACTAGGCTGGAAAAAAAACACGTAGTTGAATACACTGTTTTAGCACTTACTGACATCCAATGATTGAAAACGAGATCGTTTCACATCTTTAATTAACGCCTCCATCTTGACTGGCCGAGGACCCTTGCATATTTGTGCAAACAGCACACCGAAGCAAAACACGCACCCGGCCTACCCTGTATCATTGGTCTTACTGCCAGAGAAGTACAGGTGATCATAATCCTACACCCCAGTCAAAGAGTTCCACTTTTATACGGAAAGTAATTATAACTAAGTAGACTGTTCAAAAACCAATATGTTCTAGGCTGTGGAAATATTCCGATGTATAGAAAACAGTTTTTTATTTAAGAGTTAATGAATAAACACTTAATAACGAGTTTATCTCTATAAAATGTAGCAGATATATTCTGGTGGTGAGACCCGGGTTATCACGGTTGTGTTTTTCGTAGAATCACACTGCACTACTTTATTTCAGATTGATATCTTATTCATAAGCTATAGTCATTTGATTGGTTATTTAGTCTATTTGGCAATGATTCGTCTATCGTTGAGTACAACAAAAAAGCTAAATAAAATAGTGTTGAAATATAAAAAAAACCCGGCAATGTCAATTTGATCAAGGACAGAAAAAAACAAAATTACAGTTCACTGCATTGCTCTCAGCTATTCACACTACGATTATTTAAATCTTGAAAGCCTAATATCCCAATATCCTCTTTGAAAATTTGTAGAGTTTTCCTTTTTATCTGACACATTTTTTTTTTATAAATATTGAGGAACTATGTAGATGATCCTATGAACTCCTCACAACAAAGATTAAAATATGAAACAAATAAAACTTTAAACCTCTGCCATATTCCTTTAACGTCTCTTCATTTGTCGGTATTTAATATAATTGTGAATTATTAGTCACTGAAACGGGTACAGTCACGGGAATTTAATTAATGATCGAACAAGAACAATAAATACGTATATAATATGGAGATAAATAATTAGATGTAATATTCTGTTATGATTAAGGAATTGGAGGATCCACGAACTTATGAACTGAAATAAGTTAAAATGTACAAATTATGGACAATTTTTATTTTCATATCTAGTTTACAAATTTCTTCGTCACAAACAGGGTAAGTACAATCAGAGTTAGTTAGAAATATTCAAGACATATACTGATACACATCTCTAATTTATAGGACGGTTAAACCACTTAATGACTTATCAGGAAGAAACATTCGGGTGAATATGACATTCAAACCCATGCCAAGTCCTTAAATTCTTTGAAAATTTCTGTGTTACGAAAGCTCTTACTGAGGGATCGTAGCTACTAATAAAAGCAAGGATGTATATATAGATACCATATATAGTTCTGTACAACCTTTATCAGATGAAATAAAAGTCACTTTTTTTAATCTGCAATGTTCTTTTATCTAATCTCATTTTCTGTTTAACAGCTTGTATTCTACTAAAGGTTTTTCTAGATCTGCTGGTCATTGAAATTTCTTTTAATGACATATAGTAATGTTTTACGTTTGTCTTTTATCTTGAAAAATATTGTTCACCCCGGCTAAAGTTGAAGTAGTTTATTCAGTGAAATCAATGAAACTTTATCGAGTTTGTCTTCAGTTCATGCAACACAATGTCAAAAAAAGGAGACAACTATCCGCCATAGTTCAAATGACGTGGATGTAAGTAACTATAGATCACCGTACGGCCTTCTACAATGAGAAAAACCTATACCATTTGTCAGCTATAAAAGGCCACGGCATAAAGAGAAATGTTAAACAATTCAAAACAGAAAATTAACGGCCTAATTAATAACAATTAAATTTACTAAAAACAAATGTAACAGACATGAACCAACGACAACCACTGAATTACAGGCTCCTGCCTTGAGACAGACACGTAAAGGATCTGACGGGGTTAAACATGTTTGTGAGCACTCAAACGCTACCCTAACCTGCGACAATAGTGTAACAATACAACATAAGAACAAACTGTAAAAGTCAGCTGCAAATGATTTAGATTCAGTGTTTGTCGTTTGTTGCTGTATATTATTTTTGTTTTTCGTTTATTTCCTTGTACATGCTTGAATTGTTTTACGTATATACGTTAATTACAGTGAAGTGTGTAAAGATGTTAATATCAGTGACAATACACCTACCTCATGAAATGGACCCAGTTCCCATGTTATAACAGGAGACCTTAACATCGTTCGTGACCGAGAGTTGAAATCATTCCTCAGTAAAGGACCTTAATATCGTCCCCCGTCAATTATTAATTGGAATGAGTGTCGTAACATCATCCACGACTCACTCCGTACTTACTGCTCTAAATGGATAAAACGAGAAAAAGCTGACAAGAAATCATTAGATTCTTTTTTTAATTCGGTAATGAACATAGTTGATATACGTATTCTACATTTTAATGATCATTTTACTCCTAACAACAACCATAATAGCTCAATTTCCCGTATCAAACATAAGCTAAAAGAACTAGCCAAGGAATATATTTTTGTCCCGGCTGATAAGGCTGCTAACAATATCATTATTGTTTGACGTAAATTTTACATTGATGTTCTACAAAAAGGAAATCACGAATTCACCAACATTCCAACTGACTCCAATTTCGGAAAATGACATCTGTAACAAACTTAAACTTTTAGCTACCTCTTTACAAGCAGAACCAAATATAATGAAAGTTCCAACTATGTACTGGCTTCCGAAGCTGCATAAAACTCCTTACAAATATAGATTTATTTCGTCTTCAAGCCATTGTTCCACTACTAAACTATCTATTCTACTTACAAGTACACTTGGTACAATCAAAAACCTGGTAATGAATTGTTCAAATAAGGCCTTTGAAAATATTGGTAAAATTACTTTTGGAGTGTCAAAAATTCATTGGAAGTACTTGATAAATTACATGCTTATATTGGTGATTTCGAATCTGTTCAAAGTTTTGATTTGTCTACCCTATATACCACGTTGCCTCATAATCTTATTAAGAAAAAATTCACATACCTGATTAAATGGGCATTTAAAAAGTCGGAATGCGAATATAAATGTTCAAACTCTTTTAGGTCATTTTTTAGTAACAACAAACAAAAGAACTATGTCAATTGAACCTGCTTTGATACTATAACTGCCCTTGAATTTTTACTAGATAACATTTTTGTTCGCTATGGAGATTCCGTATATCGTCAGGTTATCGGAATTCCCATGGGGACTAACTGTGCACCACTTATTGCGGACCTGTTTCTGTTTTGTTATGAGTTACAATTTATGACTAAAATCAGCTAAGACTCATCGAAACAACATCTGATTCAAAAATTTAATAATACTTTTAGATATTTAGATGATATATTGGCTCTCAATAATGACGACTTCAGTATGTACACTAAAGATATTTATCCTGCCGAACTGACTTTAAATAAAGCTAATACTAACAATGAACACTGCCCTTTCCTGGATCTTGATATCTTTATTTTTAACGGGAAACTTAATACCAAAATTTATGATAAAAGAGATGATTTTTCATTTCCTATTGTTAATTATCCATTTTTAGATGGTGACTTTCCCTTGTCGCCATCTTATGGTGTTTATATATCTCAACTTGTTCGATTCGCTCGTGTATGTAACAACGTATTTGATTTCAACGAAAGAAATCTCTGTATTACTGAAAAATTATTACACCAGGGTTTTCGATATCACAAACTAGTCAAAATATTTACTAAATTTTATCATCGGTACAAGGACATCATTCGTAAATATAAATCAACATGCAGACATCTTATACGTTCAGGTATTTCACATCCAATATTTTATTGTAATATTATTTACAAAGCACAAACATGTCGGCATTCACCTCAAAAGCTAACCAAACCTTTAAACAGACTTATTCTGAAAGGATATAGTTACAATACTTTTGTCAAGTCATTAAGGATTGCATATTTTGGTAATAATATTGATTCACTCATAGGGTCTTTGCATCGGAATTGTTATGAGTTTCTTTTTTCTACATTGACTAGAGGTATAGGGGGAAGGTTGAGATCTCACAAAACATGTTTAACCCCGCCGCATTTTTGCGCCTGTCCCAAGTCAGGAGCCTCTGGCCTTTGTTAGTCATGTATGTTTTTTAATTTTAGTTCATTTATATGTTTTGGAGTTTATTGTGACGTTCATTTTCACTGAACTAGCACACAATTTTATTTAGGGGCCAGCTGAGGACCACCTCCGGGTGCGGGATTTTCTCGCTGCATTGAGGACCCATTGGTGGCCTTCGGCTGTTGCCTGCTCTTTGGACGGGTTGTTGTCTCTTTGACATATTCCCCATTTCCATTCTCAATTTTATACAGAGACCAACAATAACGAACAACATAAGGTCCAGATAGCCTGCGTTCGCCCAAGCACAAAATGTTGTGGGAGTAAAACTAGTTTTAGAAATATAAAAATGTTTTATTAACTTCTGAAACACTTTTATAATCGATTATTTAAGGTTTTATATATAGGTCTTTTCTTGGCATGTTTATATATATACATTAATAATACAGAATTCTGAATTATGATGGATTAGTTAAAAAAATCCTCTACTTTCATATGCTCATATGTTAATGAACTTCTTTGATTTTTGCATCTTCCGCAACCACAAACCCGTTAAGCACAGGAGCGGGTACACCCATTTTGTAAAGGTAGATCACCATGAAACGTTCACATATAGTTAAAAAAAAAAAATCGAAAAAGGGGGGTTCCAACCTCCGGACCCCCCCCCCCCCCCCCCCCCCCCCCGATCCGCCAATGGCAACATTTCCCGTGTCACCTATGCATTATTTAAACAATGGTTTTATGTTATAACCTGCTACATGCAGTCCAGCCACTGGCACACCCATTTCACAATGGGTTACCATCTGAAGCAAGAAAATAAGAGACTTTCATTACCTCTGTTACTCTTCATGTCATGTTCTGGAGGTTAATAGACCAGGCGCAGATCCAGCAATTTTGAAAGGGGGATGTTCCAACCCCCGAAACAATGAAACGTTCACATAATTAAAAAAAAAGTTTTTAATTTAAAAATACGAAAAAAGGGGGTTCCGGAACACCCCCTGGATTCGCCAATGAAACATACTCGAAATAAGCACCTATACTAAAATCCAATACCCCTTTAATGCAAAGTCAGTTAATAGGCTAGTTTGACGCACTCGCCGTATTAATTAGTGTTCTGGATAAGCTACATTTACAAAACTGTTTGCAATAACATGCATGGGTAAATCATTCAAACACTGACTTTTAAGTTAATGAATCTGTCAATCGGAGTAAAATTTAACGGCCCGAAATAGACTAAATTCAAATTTCTTTCTTATATAGACCAGGTAAACACATTTCTTCCAGTGACAAATTTAATATTCCAAGCCAAATATTCATTTGTTATCAAATATACCCGCGCCGCGTCACATAAGCTGATGCTTCACATTAACATCTATTGACATAGATTTTTTTTAAAGAATAGAGCCTATTAAGTCAAGTTATTTCAGACACAGAACGTCCATATATATCAACATTGCAAAAAAAAAAAAGAGATGTCAAAACAGCCGTTTATCAACTTTTGTAATTTCTTTTTCAGTGACCTATTCGTATTTTGACTTGATACAAGGACTTTTCAATTGCAAGTGGCGGGTTAGACCATGTTTTACGATGCATGCCCAAAACACACAAATTAGAATTGTTTTTTTTTTATCTTAGGGAGAGTACTGTGTAGTAGTTGTTTTTGGTTAAAATTACCCCTCCAAGTATCGATGGCGTAACCAAATGTGAACGGATTTTTTTTTGTGTGTGGTACCTTATCAATGACCTTGACAAGTCCAGCAAGATGATGTCTGTCCGGTCGCCATCCTCCAAGTTCCCTGCTATTTCATGTATAAATATAAGTAGCTGGGACTCAAATGATCTTTTATCGAGTCTGAACCAACGTTGCATGTCGCAGAGTATCTTGTTTTGATCAAAGTGATCCATGATACATAGCACTGTGGAATATAATTGTACTGAAAATGAAGTTTTATCATTTTTCTGCAAACATTTCAGGTTTTGGCAATGAAACCAGAAAAAGACAAGATAGTACAGCGATTCATATTGCA